ACACACACACACACACACACACACACACACACACACACACACACACACACACACACACACACCTTGCAGGCGGTTGATGAGCCACATCAGCTGTTTCTTGGAGATGTTGGTATATCCCAGGTTGAGGGAGACCGGCTGGCGGCGGATGATACCACTCAGCATGGGGGGGGTGATAGAGCGCTGGCGGCTCAGGTCGATCTGAGTCCACAGCCTCTTGTCGCAGCACCTAATGGACACAGAGACACAACAACACGTCAGTCTGATGCCAAGTGTTTAACACTGACACGCCACAAATGATCGGAGTCAAGACACGACGTCACAGTGTCACATGCTTCAGGAGGAATCAGTGTGGGATGTCACATATTCAGGACGGTCAAGACAGAGATGCTGATCGGTGTGTGGGCAGGACGTGTGTGAATGAAGTCATGTGATCTTTGTTATTCACTCAATAAAACCTTGATTTGTGTTATTTAACCAGTTTAATATGTCAGTGCTTTTATTGTGAAAGACATCCTGAACAATCGTGCTATTATTTAGTTACCTAACTCTAATGTCTCAGGCTCCGCCCACACCTTTAAGGTTTAAAACATCACTGTTGCTATGGTTACTCCTGGTGGAGTTTTCCAGCCTCTAAAACTTTTGGGAACCCGCAAAGTGTTCAAAATCTAAATCTCCAGGTTTTATTTGCTGCCATCAGTGATGATGGGATGTGAATCAGGAGTAACTGCTTTCTGCAGGTGATGTGATCAAATCCATCACTGTTACTATGGTAACGAAACGCTGCCGATCTTGTTTGTTTTGAAAACTCTGGTTTTGTGTTTTAGTCTGAACACAAACTGAGACTTTAGAAAACGGTGACGCCCACCTTCTCTTCCGATTGGTTCTCATCAGTCACATGACTCGACTACCGGCGGTGAACACAAAGTGTCGCTAACACTTCCTGTCAGGAACAGTTCCACCTCGCTGTCGCTCAGAGAAAAGAAATCTCTGCTCCTCCTTCAGAGGAGTTTCTGTTACTAAGCAACCAACTGCAGAGACAACTTACTTCCTGTTTACATCACATGACCAGTGCCATGTGACGTGTGTTTTCAGGTGTGCCAGTGTGGGTGGAGCCTCAGTGTCTCAGGTGGTTGTGAACTCACCAGCGGCTCCAGGTGCGACACACCCTCATGCAGACGCAGAGCTCTCGGTGGCTCAGGTAGGTGAAGACTCGGAGCCAGACGTCACGGGTCATGATGTGCGATGCTCCGCCATCCAGAGGCAAACAGCTGGGCTCTGGGCAGGTGGGGGGGGGGCGCACCAGGTGTCTCTCCATCTGAACAGGCCGGGGTGGCGAGGGCACGGCCGGGGGACTGCGCTTCATCATCTGAGAGCGTGGGGCGAGACGTGATGGCTGGGAGCAGGGAGACGCCGCCATCGCTGACATCATCAAACCGCCTCCCCCGTTGCCTCCCCCGTTGGAGGTGGGAATGGACAAGGAGGAAATGTTGTTCCTGGATGCCTGATTCTTGCTGTTGCTACGGATTTTGTTGCCACGGCTCCCACTTCCCTTAGTGCCACCCCCTCCTCCCCCACCATGTCTGTGATTGGTCAGAACCGTGCTGGCGTTCTCCTTCTCACCTCCCTCCCTCACTCCTCCCGTCCCGCCTCTCGTCCGTCCATTGCGCGCCTCCTGCCCATTGCTCCGCTGCTTCCCAGTGAAGCCATCGTGCTGTGAGGACGGAGGCATCTGATTGGATGAGAGGGGTGAAGGCGGGGGAAGGGAGGAGGGGTTTTTCCTGGTCCTTTCTGAGGTGGGCGTGTCCTCGTCCTCTCCATCCAGCTGCCCTCCTTTCCGTCCTCGTTGGGGTAACCCCCCATCTCCCCCCCCTCTCCGCCGTGTCTTTTCCCCCCCTCCCCCCAACTCCTCCTCCCCCCTCCCTCCCTCGCCCTCCGACTCTTCACTTGCACTGAAGCCCAGCTCGGCCAGACGTCTCTCCCTCTCCCTCTCCCTCTCTCTCTCGCTACGACTCCTCTCCCTCTCTACCCGGCCCCCGCTGCTGTTGCCATAGACAACGACGGGAGGCGGGGCAGGGGAGGAGGACGAGGGCGAGGAGCCTCCCCCCTGCTCCCCCCTCAGGGAATCGTCAGAGTCGGACTCGGAGTCGGACTCTGAACTGGAGGAGGAGGAGGAGGAGGACTCGGGCCGACGCTCCAGCAGACACATCCTCTTGAAACGCTCAAGTTTCTCTCTGTGATGCGACCGCTGGTCCGCACTCGACACCCCCCCTGCTCCTCCCCCACCACTACCTGGCTGAGAAGAGGAAGAGGAGGAGCCCTGAAATCCTCCAGCTGATGATGTGGGACCGTTTGACTCTGCCACTTCCTGTTTGGGTTTCTGGAGAGAAAAGATTAAAAACAGTTGTAATGACACTCACACAGGTATCGAGGTCCCGCCCCTCCATGTGCTCAACTGTGTTCGACTGAGAAAAAGATTTATGACACACTGACGATACTGTAAACATGAGCATTAGTCCGTCTCGTCACGCTGACAGAAACATGTGAGTGTTAGCGAAGCCTTCGTACCTTTTTTAGCCGTTTCTCGTGGGCAGCTTTCATCTGGAGAGAAACAGAAAGAGAAGGTCAGAGGTCACCACCCTTCGCAAATAAGTGTCCCTTGTGTTTCATACAGACTTTTACTGTGATGCTCCACCACTTTGAATATCAGCTGATATATAAAAATGAAATAACGACTCATGAGATGGTTTGATATTTAACAATTTAACCAAAAACTTTATCATAGATAAAAAGAAAACATATATAGAACTTAAATTAAGACAACAAACAACTTATTTATGTAAAATATAAACATGAAACAAGTGTTTCTTATCGTTAACATTGACGCTGATGTGTCGTCCAACTATCAAGTCTTGAGAGTAAAAACGTGGACATCCACCTTCTTCTTGGCTCCACTGTCCTGAGGCAGCTCCTTCTCCTTCTTCCTCTTGTGTCCCCCCTCTGTCGTCCTTCCCCCCTCCTCCAGGGAGGGAGGGGCTTTCTTTTTAGGGGGCGGGTCATCTGTGAGCTTCCAACGGCCCACCTCCCCGTTATCCAGTCGCCGCTTCCCTGAGCCGTCGGCCTGGTCCTGGAGACAGATACAGGTCAGTCACCACTGCACTGATGAAATGATGCCGTTCAGAAGTTCCCAGGTCCAGGACCGTGGTCTGACTCACCTTACTGGTCTTGCCCTCCTTGTGGCACTTTGGACACTCCCAGCAGTTTGGGATCTCGTCATTGATGATTCCTTCAGCTTTACCCATCTAAGGAGGAGACAGCATCAGTCAGAGAGTTGTAGAGAAACGATCAATGATATTGATCCAACCTGATCACCAACCTTCAGACAGCTAGGGTGGATAATTTCATTACAGATGGTGCACTCCATCAGAGAGAGGCTGAACTTCTCCTCCTCCGAGTCCACAGTGTCCTCCTTCCCTGCCTCACCGCACGCAAAACACACCGCCGTGTGAGGCAGCACGGGCTGTACAGAGAGACACACAGGTCAGAGAGAGACAGGTACATCAGCACGGGCCGTACAAAGAGAGAGAGAGAGAGAGAGACATCAGCACCAGCAGAAAATGCAGACGCACCACTTACAGCAACATGCAACACATTCAGTATTTTTTCACTACTGTTTTACTGATAAAGTTATAAATAGACAATTTAAAATGCAGAAAAGCGCCATTTGTGTTAAGTAGTGCATTTAAAGGCACTGAGAAGAAAAACATTTTCAGTTAAATGGTGCTTTTTAAAACTTTAACACAAGATAAAAAACTGATAGATGTAAACATATGTGGTCAGCTAATTACTGTCATTACAGCACAACCACAACAAAACAAGGAACTTCCTCTGTAGAGCTTCTCCTCCTTAAGAGCAGCGGTGGGGAACTCGTGGCCACCAAGACGTATACGGCAAAATTATAACATCATAAATACAAAAAAACTTACGCACATGCAACCAAAACTCTTGTTCACACCAGTCTGCACAATCTAAAGCCATTTCAGACAGCTCCAGGTAAAATACCAGAGAATTGACTACAGATTGTCTATAGTTATAAAATCTGCCACTGAATTAATAAAATGAAACAATGACCCATAAATAACCCAACGACAAGAAATATATGAACAGCTGTGCGTGTGTATGTTTGTTAAAGCATCTCTCTGAAAACCACTGTGATGGATCAAAGCTAACTCAAGACTCCATCCAGAGATGGTTGCCATGGAAACCCAGCATCATTGCCTGCTGGGATGAAGCTCTGGGTCGATGCTATTTGAAGAATCGACACGGATAAATGAAAAGTAAAAATCAGTGTGTGTGTGTGTGTGTGT